GATTGGTCAAAAGTAAGGAAAGCCGAAGGCAGCCGAACATCGACGTGCGTTTATTGGCGGCCGATTGCGGACTCGAACACTTCGATTCAATGATTGGCTTGAATCACCGATTTGATTCCCGGAATCGTACTCGTTTTGGGCGTTTTCCGAGTTTGGGTGGTGGGTGGTTGTTTTTGCCTTTTCTGGGGGCGACTTTTCGGACCAGCGTAAATGGAATATTGATTGATGGGCTGGACGGGTGGTTGAGGCGAATAAGCAGGAAATTACAGAACGATATATTAACGAGCGCAGTCATAAAAATGGTTAAATCATTAGGGAGCCAGGACAGAGCCAAGCTTAAAGCCTCAGTACAGTTGTGTTTGCCGAAACTAAGCCGGCATTAAAGCCAGGCCTGATGCCAAGGTTTTTCTTTCATTCAAGGCCAAGTAGTAACCGACACGTTTTGCCTTCATTATTCATTTGCGAACATGACAGAGAAGAAAACCGAAACACTTCCATTCAGAGTCAGCCATATGGAAAGATATCTTTTCAAACAAAGTGAGCAAAGAGTAGTCAAAACAAAGGAAAAATCGGCTCTATTGCTGCGTGTGTATGTATAATACAACTCGTGGCGTTTTCGGGGTTGTTTGACGGCAAGTGAAAGAAGCGTTTTGGGTGAAGTACTGCGGCATACAGTACAGGAAAAAGTATCTGCGGAATATCATCTATTTGGATGAGGGTGCTTAAAATTATTTTAAGAATAGACAAACACTAAAAAGTGGAATGAATTTGACATTTAATATGTTTATTAAATGCATCTTCCTGTTGAGGCATTGAAAAAGGTTTAAATTATTTTATTTTATAATTGCTATTTATATATTGTAATATATTTAGCTAAAAACATTTTAAAATATTTTTGTATATATTTTTATGTTTATTTTTACACATGGACTATGGATGCACCATGCCTTCTTTTATATAAACTCAGTAAAGAAAATATACCAGTTTTTAAACTTATTTTCATCAAATCCTATTTAAATGTTTTATTTGGATTTAGTTTTTACTGCTTTATCATACAACAAAGCAGGAAGGTAAATGTAAAATCGAATTAGCGCCACCTACAGCTTAAGGTGCAGACTAATCGCCAAAGCAAAGTTCAAAACCATACAAGCAGTGATATTATCGGCAAAGCAGGTAAAACAGAAAAAAAGCTGTGTAAAAGTCCTAATTGGTTGGTGACTTTGATAGTGCAGGATATTTCAGGGAATTTTATATTTTTACATTATTTATGACAAAATAAAGTTTTAAAGTAAAGTTTATTTTTAGGGAATTTGTATGTTTAAATAACAATTTTGATTTTTAAAACGCTAAAACTGATTTCATTTATTACTTTTTAATACAAAAAATATTGTTATATTAAAGACAACTCATTGTGCATCTACAAAAATTTGTTCCTCAATATTTTGCATCAAATAAGTATTTTTTTTAGGGTTCAGTAGTTTTGTTTCTACAGTATTAAAAATATATATTATTTCCAGCAACAACTACATTTTCCATTTAAGTTCTATTCGTCGCTCTTAAATATTATGTCTACCACTAGCAAATCCAAATTAATCCAATGGATTTTCTTCGCACCAAAAACTCTCTTAGCCAAAAACACATACATATCTGTATTTATATATGCCTCGTCTCAGTTTTGTTGTCCAAAATTGGCAAATTCATATAGGATATGCGTTAGCTGCCTGGCCTTTGATTCGACCATCATCAATATTGATTGGCTGCTGCTCTAGTTGGCTTTGGTCCCTCTGCCTGTCGTGGTATTTAACAATTTAGCCGCTCAAAATTTGTTATGCCACAAATCCCCAGCAGCGCCTGTCAAAACGGATATCCAGGTGCCGAGGCGACACCTCAACTGTACAGGCAACGCTGCCTACCATTGCCACCAATTGCAATCAGCCCGATCATAAATACTTCATTACCTTTTTCGATGGCACGATGGCTGTGTTTGGAAGGCACATTAGCTGCACCTTTGGGTCTCGCTTGCTGCACATTTGAAATGCTTTTTCCACCTGACAGCTAAAATAATCACAACTCAGATTGGTTTGCTAAATTGCTGGTTTATTAAAAATCAATGCTGCTGGCCAGCAACCAACGTAAACGCAGTGGACGGCAACAACAGCAAATCAGCAATTTCAGCAGCCTTAACAGCGTGTCCGACACCCTTCTATGTCATGACCCTAGGACACCACCTCCCACGACCCCACAAACACTGGAAAAATAAAGTGAAAATTAATAAAGATATATACAAAAATTTGTAATTTTCAACAAATTTAATTATAATTAAATCTTAGTTGTTAACAAAAATTTGTTCAGAGTTTTTAAAAAAAAATTGTATAAATAAGTAATAATGAGCATGTCTACTTCAAAAAAACCAAATAATAATAATATTACCTATTCTATAAACAAGTCTACATCGAAACAACCAAAAATCTTTGTAGCATTAATAAACCAATGTTTTATTTCAGCTTTTATGGCTGAGACTAGCAGAGACTATAATTCTTAGATAAATAGATGTGTCCAATTTCAATAATATTAATTTTAAAATTAAGTTTGTTATACTCCAAGATATGTAGTAGTTTAAACTTTATTTTATTTTTAAATTTTTTTTGTAAGAGTTTTGAAGTTAATAAAGGTTTTGTAAGTTTAACACCATGTGTGTTAATATCAGTTCGATTTACCTTTTTTACAGGCTACTCCTACTAAAACTACTTCTTAAAAACCTTTAAAAAATGTATTTAAATTCAGCGGCACTCAGATTTTTATATCAGCAAGCCCAAAGGGAGTACATACAATATGTTGGCGGAAATGAAAAGGAATTATTATGACAATTTGATCTTATTTTTATCGGTGTCCCGTAAACGTTGCAGGGTGAGCCGCAACACTGGACAACACAATCGCCATCTGGGGTGAGACAGTTGCTGCTAATTGAAATCCCATTTGAGGCGGGTTCTTTCGATGTTCCGTAGCCACACAGGCCAGTGTAAGCAGATGCCGGCGGTTGTCCTTACAGCGCCAGACATATGCCACACCCCCAATGTGTGAAGGCGGGGGCGGTTGGCGGGGTGGTGCTGTTTCGCCAGGACCTGCTCCAAGCAGCTGCCACTGCTGTCGCTGCTGGTTTTCGGGCGACATTTCCGGGCAGTCCGAAGTAATTGCTCGGCAAGCTGTTGCCGTTGACAAAGGGGGCAGTGGGTGTGGGTGGGGGTGGGGGAGTGGCAGTGGCAGTATTCAGGGTACTGGGCGAGTGTGTGGGAGTGTGGCAAGCCTGGTTACCCGGGGACACTGGTGTATTGGTCAGCTTAGCCTGCAAGCGGCTTACGTTAGACATTTCGGTGCGGCGGCCACGCGGCGTATGAGGAATGTCAAGTGAATGCGGCCGGAAGCGAAATTGCGAAATTCGGCAGTCGCATTTGCCATTTGCCATTTGCCAGTTCTTAAAGTTCGGACAGCAGGGGGCTCTGGAACACCGGAGTAAATCGAATTCGGATGCACCATCTCCTCCACCGCTTTCGCTTCTGCACACTGCAGTTACGTGACTTTTTGGGGCCAATTTTTTATCGAACGACTTTCCCTTTGGCGGCAGGAGGAATCACAACCTCCAGCTGTATCCGTAGCCGTGGCCGTATCCGTAAACATATCCGGATCCGGGGCTTTGCATCGCAGCCGAGCGTCCGCGCTTTGCATATTAACTAAGTGAAACATTTTCGTTGACAACTTTTCAAACATTTGTGCGCCCTGTGCAAATATTTACCGCCACAGCATCGGGATTTGGCCGGATGGCAGGGATGCCATCCGAATCCGTAGCCTCAAGACGTTTAAAATTGAAATTTAAATTCGATACATAAACGGGGGAAATAGAAAAGAGGAAAAAAAAGGGACTTCGACACATCCTTTTGACCGTGCAGCTTAACATATCAGCCGCACCAACGTTTTGGGGCTGCTTTTGGCAATTTGAAATACAAATTTTACACCATCCCCCGGAATCAAATGAGCCAAGGCCAATAAGTCTGTCTCCCCTCGATGGATCCCAGTTTTTTCTTTTCTTTTCCATCCTATTTTTTTGTGGCTCAGCCCTCTAGCCCTTTTAACAGTCTGTCTGGGCTTCCCAGGATTTGTGGGCAATAGTCCTATATACCCAGCCTTAATTTCGAGTTACTTCTGCCCACCTCTGCATTTGCCGAGCTCACACACACACACACACACACACACATACTCACTGATATTTATTAAATATTGAATGTTTTCCTTTGCTAGCTGACTTTGCCGCTGGCTGGCAAAAGGGAAAAGTTTCCCCTTTCCTCGGGCCGACGACTTTCATCCTTTGTGCCTGTAGTAACAAGGGGAAAAGCTCTATCAGCCGAGGGAAAATTCTAAACTTGTCGGGCAGTTTTTGGGGATTGACCTAAGGGCTAATATACGATTATGCAAAGTCGGCCAGAGAAAGATACATCAATATGCTATTCTTATTGACATAGGATAATAGTTATAAAGATCCTCCTTATGACATTTGGCTATGATACACTACTGGGATTTTTACTTTGCGTCATTGTATAACTTAAAACCATACTTGATGATATATTGTTTATCTCAATTGAATAAAAAAACACATCTTATTTTCTTATTTGTAATAAATAATCCATTTTTTGAACTAAATAATCACTGGAAACAATAAAATAAAGAAATAATTAATTACAATGCTAATCACATTTAGAATGTTCGCGTTGAATGTTTTTTATATTGATATTAACCACTTGTGAAATTAGAAATAAAAATTAATGCTTTGAAAAATATAGTAACTTTTAAGATTGCTGGCGTTTAACGTTTCTGAACATTAAACTGAATAATCTTTCATCTTTAATCTTTTTCATTTTGAATGAGCACAAACAAATTCTGTGTAGACGCACTATTTCTTATAACTTTTTATCAGGGGTATAAGTTATGAAATAAAAAGAAACTTGATGTTGGTTTCAATTAACTTATCATCGTGTTTTATTCGGTTGTAATAGATTCAAAAGATCACTTAGCGTCCCCAGATCTCGACGGTGGAGTCGATACCCTGGCTGACCAGGCCGCGGAGGTTGACGGTGGCGAAACGGTAGCCCGGACCGCCGGAATAAAGACTCGGATTCGCGCCGGAATTGTTCTTGAAGTTGTCGTAGACGATCACGGCCGAGATGTTGTATTTGCCGGTGGGGTAGTTGACGTTGATGTTCCAGTAGTTGTTCTTGACCGGTTTGCGGGCCTCAGTGGTGCGGGACAGCAGGTAGTCGGTGCTGTTCCTACGCCCCCAGGTGGCACTGTAGGCGTGGCAGCCGAGGATCACGGCCAAGACAATGGAGAGGACGAGCAGAATACGCATGTTGGCTGGGTGCTTTGAACGTTCTTGGATCGTATGTTGTTAGCTGTTCGAAACGCTCGGCTTTTATACCGCCTCGCTGCGTATGAGTAAGACAATGTTTGCTAAAGCGCTTCGCTTTTAATTAAATTTTGTTAAAGGGTGGGCTTATCGCACCCGGTGAAGTGGGCATGTGGGCATGTAGGCGAGAGTCTGGCGAAAATTGTCCAAATAGTGGAAAATGATATCAAAGTAAAAGAAACCCCCAGGTAATCAAGGTGCTGCGATAAGATTACCTGACTCACGCAGCCGGTTGTGCAAAACAAGACAGTTCCGAAATAAACAAGACTTCCAGGAAAAGAATTGCTTCGCTTTATCACTAAGCGTTAAGCTATCGAGAATAGAATCGAAAAATCATAAAACATCTTCGTTGCAGATGTCAGCTAATTGATAGCACTTCTTAACTGAAAGTACTTAAGCTTATGAAGTAACTGAAGGCTTTCTTATCAAAATTTTCCACACAAAACCCCGTTAAGATATCTCAATCACTGAAGGAATTATTAATTTGTAGTTCCATTGAATTTATTTAATAAGTTGAATAACAAAACGCAAAACACTTGAGCACAGACGGAATTTAAAATTAGTTTCAAGCCAGCTTAGATAATTTAAAGGTGCCTAGTTAAATGTAAACGTGTTAAACATTATTTAATGTATAAACAATTCATAATGAATTACAATTTACATTTGTATCGTGTTTGTAGGATATGCTTTCCAAGTCAGTCAATGAATGTTTATAAGTAATTAAGTGGCTTAGTTAAAGACGTTCATATGCGATAAAAGCATTCAAAACATCTCAAGAATTTATGACGGCCAGTATCCTGTTACAAATGAAAGACTTACATCCCATTGCCATCCAACTTAAGCAGCAAGATATTATCAACATTGTTTGAATTGAAACTTCCCCTGAACTTTAATTAAGTCCAGAGATTATTCCTTTCATGCTTGTGGCATTCCGGACTCGGTGATGATTAATCTCAGAAGGAATGCATTCACAGGATTCACAATTTACAGGAAAGGACCTATGGGGGCGTGTCGCAGCACTCCCGCCCCTAGATTCCTTATCGCCTGACACAGAGATTGAGCTGCTGGTCTGGTCCTGGCTGCATATTTATTGCGAATTACCACGGCTCGCAGTCACTTGCTTTGGCATAAAATCTCATTACTTGCAGCAGCCGTGGCTGATAAGGGTGGACGTATTTGTCACTTATGAAAGGGATAATTCGCCACGCTCCCAGGATAGTCCGGGTCCCACCACTATATTCACAATAAAAAAAAACGGAACTCCACAATGCCAACTCAGGGAGACAAAGCGGGGCGACAAATGCCTGAGGGAATGTCGGGGGAGCATTACCATTGCTATAGCCATTGCCATTGCCATTGCCATTATCCGATTGCAGTCTGTGCTGGCATTTTGTGCAGCAACTTGTTAATCACATTTTATTGACACATCGCCAGTTCTCGGGGGAGTCGATTTCCATTTTTAAATTGGCCAAATTAAGGGCTGCTTTTGCAGGGCCCCCTTTCAGTTTGACTGTTACATGCGTTCGCTTGATAAGCAATTTGTTGTAGACCCACACACAGACTGCTTCAAACAAACATGAAAGACAGGCACACTTAACAAAAAAATTTTTAAAATCTAACAAAATTGAATAAAGTGTATCTAGAGTCTATTTTGAATTTTCAAGAAACCACTTTTTATAATAAAAATACATATGTGCAAGACAATCCCCTTAACCATAGGTAAATATCATAAAAGCCTTAGGTAAATACAAAGTCAAAGAAAAGATTTGTCTTTAAAAATAAAGAAATTTTGTTTAATGCTTTTGCTTAAACTTATTAACTTAAGGTTATATGTTTAAAAGTCTTTACAAGGCAACATAGAATTAGGAGCATTTGAATATTTGTACTTAAGTATTATTAAATACTTTCGATCTATTTATGGTTGGAATCTTTTCAGTGCACATACATGCACTTACAAACGCCAGATTCGACAATTGGCAAATTTAAAAGCAATAAACGTAGCAGAGAGCAAATTTCTGGGTTTATGCCTCGTCCTCGTTTAGCCTTTTTTAACTGCTTGTCAGGGGCGAGGGGGCGTGGCAGGGGCGGGGGTATGACCCCAGGGGGGCGGACGAACGCGTGCCGCCAGTACTGGCTGGTTCCACCCTCTGGGATTGGGATATGTCTGGGATTCCATCGCAAGCTGCCACTGCCATTCAAAGAGGACTTCCCTTTCATTTGCGCCTTCAATGCCAATCGCTGGCACGACACTTTCCCCCCGGCGGCTATATAACCCCTAGACTCTAACCCCCCTCAGACCAGGGTTCAAGCTGCGCTTTGGTAAAATGTCAAGAGCGGAATGTGCACTTTTGACAGTTTCAGTTCATTCGTTGTACCCACACCCCTGCGCTTCCTTCGCTTCCTTCTCCTCGAAACCCCATCCGGTCCTCGCCCAGTCTAACCCTAAACATCCCCTCGACATCCGCACACATGGCAACCCTGACACGTTCCCCTAATAAAACTTTCTCGTCGAAACGAAAGAACAAAGTCAAATATTAGCAAAAAACTGGAATATGGCAGCAGCAGCAGCAACGGCAACGGCTGGTTTATTTTATTTTTTCATGTTTTTAATGTGCTTTTTTGTGCCGTTGAAGACACTCCCCACCCACCCCTCTGTTCTTCTTTGACAGACCAACATTCGAGTTTGGTTGCTATGCTAAACAATTGAAAGGCGAAATCATAATCCACACAAAAGGGCTGAATGACTCCACACTCGCATAATATCAAATTCAAAGAATTTTCCATATTCAAGTGGTTTTCATAAAATTATGTTTAACATTAAGTGCGTTTATTTTTTTTGGTTTCGTCTGCTAAAGTATGCTTCACGTTGCAAAAACTTTTACTTTTTATTACAACCACAGTACTTTGGTGAAGAACTAATATAACAACAATTAAAGGCAATTATGTGCATTTAATTTAATATTATTAAATTAGACAAAATGAAAAGCAAAAAGCTTTCTTCTTGTTGAGATTTTTTGCTTTTTTTTGGTGCTCTTGCAATGTTGATTTAAACTTAAATGTAACATAGCATTTACAAAAGTGTTGAGTTTGTTAGTGCTGCATTTTTTACAGGAATGTCAATCTACTGTCAACAAATTATTTGCATTGCTTAGTTCCTTGTTTACAATTGTGTGGTGTTTTGTAAGCTAAAACTTTAAGGTGAACTAATATTATAAAAACTTAAGCTTTTATATTTAAAATTTACTACTAACATGAAATTCGTTTCGGGTATTTATTTAAAATACTTCATTATATCAATAACTTAAACGCTTCGAAATTGTAGATTTATCGATTTTATAAAGCCGCTTTTAAAATCAGTTCTTCCGTCAAAAAATATAAGTGTTTATACCCGATAATATAAAATATTCTTTAGCAAAAATGTTACATAAAACTTAAAAATTTAGTGGTAGAATGAATAGAAAATAAGTGGAATTTTTCAGTGCCCTACAGAAAGAATGCCATCTAATGGAGGGCCATTTCATACGCTGTGAGATGCATTTTGTGGTCTAAGCCAAGGGGTTGCGACTTCTGTCAACATTCCTGAGGGGTGAGAGTCCTGTGCCTTGTGCTTCTGTTTCTGCAGCGATATGCAAAATGGTTTCTGGCACAAACCACGTGGGTAGGACCAACGAATGTCCCCCTGCAATTGCTAATGAATTCTCTAAGCGATAAAACGGCAAAAAGAATTTAATGCGCCAGCAGCAGCAACAAAGCAAAGCTAACATAATGAAAGCGGGAAAGCTGGAAAGCGGGAAGAGCGGAAACGGAAGCGGGAAAGGCAAAAGGAAAATGTAAAGCCGAAGCCGAAGCCAGGGCGTCAAAGTTGTTTGCCCTTTGTTGGCAATGTTGTTGTTATGGTTGTTGTTGCCATTGTTGCTGCTGCTGTTGTTGTTAATTGCTGACTTAATGGCGCTTTAATTAAATCGCAACACTGCAGGCGGCCCAAGTTCGAAAATTAGGGGTTGGGGGCAAATGGGGAGTGTTTAGTAGAAGTGAGAGGAATTCGGGGGTGGGGCGACTGGCTGGCGGAATTCTTGCACATGGCGACTTCCGGTTAGTCACGAGCCAACCCTCCGACCAACTTGATTTGTGACCCTTTGTTAGTTGTAAACGGTCGAAAGTTGTAAACTGCTCTCGCCGTTTTATTTTATCAATATCTGAACCAACCAGAAATGAAATTACGACTTTTTTCTAGCTAGCTCTAATTTAAAATTTTAATTATACTAATGTCCAATCTTTAAATTAAAGCGCCACGAAAAACATTAAAGTAAAAAAAAAACCTATTAATGAATAACTTTGTTAAAACACTGATTATAAAAGTCAGACGGAGGATAAAAAACTTAAATTAGACAATTTATTCAGGTTTAATTAAAAGCATATCAATAAACCAGAGAAAACACATGCAATCAAATTTAAACTTCAATTTTCATCGAAAAGTATAAACCATATACAGATTATTAATATGCTAGTTTTGTATTTTTTGAATATTATTGATGTCAGCTTTTATTGTTTTTATTCGATGCACTGTAAACTTATTTGTATAAATTCAATAACAAACAATGCAAAAAATCGAAATATGGCTAAATAAATATTAAATAAACTGAAAAGCTTTATTTGTTTAGTTTATATAAATGTGCTATCTATTTTCCAGCTAAGTGAAATGCGTGGTTAGGTATTTTTATTCGTTTTGAGTGCTTTTGTTTTGGCTACCTTTTGTAATCTATCGCTGTCAGCACTTGGCCTCACCCACAATTTATTCAGCCAAATGGCCAAAAGCTGCAGCTGCAGCTGTCTGGTGTCTGGTGTCGCTGGCGATAAGTTGGCTGTTGCTGTTGTGGCAGACACAACTATAGATTCGATCTTCGGAGCCCGAAATGTTTAATTGCCGGTTTGGCTGCCTATCAAGTTGAACTATACCAGTGCTTATTGTTGCTCGCCGTTCAGCCGGGTGTAAAATTTTAATTAATGCAACTGCAGCACTATAACAAACAAACAGAAACCGATTTTGCCCTGTCAAATTGATGAACTTTCCCCACCAATTGGCAGTTCGAAGTCGGCTTGCAGTTTTTGGACGCTGTTTTTCCTACAATATTTACGTTTCATCAAATGGGAAAATCCACTGCGATAACTGGAAGCTGTAATAACAACCCAGTGAGCCTTGTACCCGAACTCGTAAACATAATCGTATTGGCGGGTTTTTCCATCTCTCGAAAGGAATCTATTTATTTTGTGGTTTTGGAGTTCTGCGGCTCCGACGCATATGTAAGTTTGTTCATCATTTTAATTAAAAGCGGTAAAAAAACACATCGTCAGCAGTGAAAGCACATAATGCGCTGCAGATAAAAATGCAATATGCCCGCAATACCGCAATTTGTTTAACATTCCAGGCAAACGCGAACTGCATAAACAATTAAACCGATTGAGTTGAAAATCACGCGTAAAAAATGCACTTTTAAAACCGCAGGATAAAAATATACATTATATTGTAATCTAACATTTCGATCAACGCCACCAAAGACCGCTTGATATGTTTACTCGTATTTAATTGGTTTAGTGCCTGGCTGTATCGATTTCCGGCGCGACTATTGTGCCACTAATCATCGAAATCCATAAATAATAAAGCCTTTTAAATGATTTAAAATCGTTTTGCATATTTCATGGCTCTTGCAGGTCCTTTGGCTGCCAATTAAATGCTAAATAGATTAAAATAGCAAAATGCTACGATAAACTCAATCAGGAATTCTGATTTATGCCTGCCACATGGACCCGCAAAAGCAATCCCACCATTAATTAATCACCGTACACTGCTGTACAAACAAATGTGAACCTCCCATTGTAGCAAAGGGGGAAATTCTTAGGAATTTTCATTGAAACTATACATTTTGCACCGAAATATATTTTGTGAATGCATGCACCCAAAAAAAACTGTAAGTATTGTTTTATTAAGTGGGTCTTGAAAGTAAACTAAAGACATTATTAAAGTATGCGTATTAATTTAATACTAATTAATATAAAGCCCTATACTTTTTTTATTTTTATTTCTTTAGAAGATTCTTAAACTGTGGTCTGAGGCCTTATTTTTAGACCGCCGTCCTTAATAAACAAACCAAAATATTTTGTTTGTTACTATTATTTACCAAAATTTGTAATGTTTATATAAGTCTTACTTTATACCAAGACTTTATAAAAAATTATCATCTTTCTTTGTTTTATTTTAAACTTTTTAGTTATTATATTGACCCATGTTCAAAGGTGTAGAATACATTTACATATAAGCCCCATCTAACTCGGCGATCTTAACAACGCAAATCGAGTAGGATAGACCGTCATAATGCGCGAACTAATTGCTCATTAATTCACAAACATGATTTCCAATTCAATCAGACTTGGGTAATTACAAAACTTAATCTGATGGAATGGCCGCAGCCCCCTACGAACACCTGTTGATGTATCCGCGTGGGAGACTTCCGCTTCTCGCACTTCCATTTCCCATTTCCCAGTTTCCCCAAGTTGAGGGGTCACGCAGGGCTAACGATGTTGTTCCACGACAAACTCGGGTTCGGATTTTCCCATTTAGTTTGTTTTGTTTTCCGATTCCATTTTTTGTCGGCTCAGAGGCAAACACATAACGCAGCTTTTCCTCCTCCTTGGACAAACCTCCCCTCACCACCCCTCTTGGTGCTGCCACTCAAAGTTGTGTCGTTATGAGAATGGGTGAAAAAGCGAATGTCCAGTGACAGCTCCGAGGGCGAGAGCAAAAAAGATTGATAATACCTGGAAATCAGTGTGGTCAAGGAGTATATACACTCTTGAGATGCTGCTTTGTTTTGAAAAAAAACTAAATAGTTTTTTTTTTAATAAGGACATCTTTTTTTGATAATCGATGTCTCTGAAGATATTTTTAGCACCCCTTAATAAAACTGTTATTTATTAAAGATATATAAGTCTTGATCTAAATCTTGTTTTGAAAATGGGTTTAGGGTAAAAATAAATTCTCGATTATATAATAGACCATTTTTTTTTAACATTTAATATTGTTTAAAGAATTCTAAAAATTGTTAGGGTGTTCTAACGTCGAGATCCTTGGGGAAATGTCTTTTGTAATTAGAGCGGCGCAAACGAATCCCATGAAGAAAGGGTACCCTGGGGTCAGCAAATGCGCATCGCTCAGTTTTTGACACGTCCGGCAAATATGTTTGTCTGGGTTAAAGGATGGCGGACCTTGTCCAGGACCGTTCAGGCTAGGCACTTTAAGACAAAATGTCGAAAAAAAACAAAAAAAATTCAAAAAACTTAATAAGTCATTGGAAATGCTTTATTAATGAACCCAGAAGTCCATGCCCTACTTAATAAGAAGGATCGCTCGCGAAACATCCTATTGTAAGCATATTAAAATAAATGTATACACCCAATCTTATTTATATGGTTTTAGTTAGCCAGTATTTACCGCAGCAAATGCCTAAAGATCATCCATAAATTAGAGATCAGTTAATTTTTATCGGCCCCATACTTTTGGGCCCAAGACTCAACGTCCACTGAACCGCTCCTGTCATGTGCGAACGTGCCCTCGCATGGAATGGATCATCCCATCCTCAGAGCCCAACAACACAGGCCTTTGATGCATCCTGAAATTTTGTGCGATTCCCCCTCAAACCATACAAACCATCCGACAGTTGATTAATAAAGCACTGAGATTGCACAGATTGCAATTTTTGTTTATGATTCAAAAGGAACATTTAATTTATTTGCTTTGTTTTTGCTTTTTTCGTTTTCGGCTGCCGCTCTTCACAAAAATTGAATTTCTGCTTTTAGTTGTCGTTTTGCTTCTTAGCTTTGTCTTAGTGCCACGCCCACTTCCATAGGTTTAATAGCGTTGGGATAGACAGAGGGGTGCGGGTGGGGGGTGTCTTTAAGGGTGTGAGGGCGTTTCGAGTGTTTGTGTGTCTTAACAGATATTCCTTCTTGTTTTTTTGTTTTTTTTTTGGTTTTTCAGACGAAAACGCATAAGTTTCGAGTTTCTGTATACACATACAATCATACGCTAGAGTATATCTAAAAGTAGGATACAGAGATACATCTATATAGAGTTAAAGAGTGAGACATATGTAGATTGAATGACAATTTGTTTTGCTTTGTGGTTTTTGGGTTTCTGGGTGTGTGAGTGAGTGTGAGTGTGTATCTGTGTGTTTTAGCCTTTTCCTTCCGGGCTTTACACATTTGCTGGTATTGGTTTTGTTTTCCACTTAATAGCGTTTACAGTTAGTTTTCAATTTGACGACAAAATATACGTTTAGTCATAGACATACACTCACGTACACATATATAAACATGAAACACATTCGGTTAGTTATAGTAGTTTGCTGCTCCTTTGATTCAAGAGCTCCGTCGTCTCCTTAGCTTTATAATCTATTTGAAATTTGTTCGTCTCCATAGGATAATTGTAGGTGTGTGTAGTAGGGTTGACTGTGTGGGTGTTATGTTTGTATGTTAGTGTGTGTTTGCTGGGTGCCGGGCACCCTTTTTGGGGTATTTATTTTATGCAGAGATAGTTTGCAGTTCGGTATTTGCCTTAGTAACATTCCCATAGTCGAGTGCGAAGCTTAAGAATAAAACATATGGAAAGAGCTTACGTAGCTAGATGAATAAGCAGCTGCTGGTCTGGAACTATTTGCTATTTCTTTCTTAGTTATTTCGGTGCTTGACTGTTTTATTTGTTTTCTTTATTTTTTCTGATTTTTTTTTATCTGTGTTTGATTAGTACAGAGAACATTTAAACTACGTTTAAGTGGTGGCCTTCTGTTAACTGAAATGCATTAGCTATTAATTACATCGACCTTTGAGAATATATTGGGATGAGTAAAGGATGCTCTGGTTTTATTCAAATCAATAATACTAAAATGTATTTAAACTCCTCTTATCTTTGCCTTGAAGCTAGGCTGCATTAAAGCACATCTTCATCCATCCCAGTATATTTGGATAGTGCTATTGTGGGGTGGGGTTTTTTGGGGCTTGACAACTTTAAGTTGCCGCCTGACTTGGCTAACGGATATGCAAATTAATACATAACTCTGGGGAAGTGGATACAGAAACAGAAACAGAAACAGAAACAATTCTTGGCTAATTCAACTAAAAGGCATAAACAAACAACAAGGACGTCTTAAGCTGGGGGATTTTGGCTCGGATTGGGGCCAAATGAAAGCCCGAGAAACACAGGCACACACAGCAGCAAATGCACTGAGCGAAAACCCAGCTGCATGTGCATAGTTAATGGCGAGTCCCGTCAGGAGCGGAGATTATTCCCCTGTCTTTTGACATCGAAATAATTGAACAACGAAACGATTGCGACAAGGTTCTCCAAAACTGAATTAGTGCGATATGCGAGCGAGGAGCGAGTTGAGGGTTAAAGTGAGGATTTTTGTTTGCTGTTGTAAGGTGTTAAGGGACCTCTACGCATGCAATTGTGTAGTTGTGTTTGAGTGGGTGTGAATAATGTTTATCGGTTGTTTGCCATCGTTTTAACATTTGCTGTTTTTGCTTTTCACCTGATTCAGATTCTGTTTTGAACTTCCTCCCTTATGACATACGCAATAGTAATAATAATAATCAAGGTAAATAAATATATCGGTTTCATAACAATCGAGGACAACATTCGTGAACAAAAGATTCCGCATCCTGTTGTCTCATCTCTCCCCATTCGTTCCTTCGTCCTTTGCTTAGACTACACACATTCAATAAAATATGCACATCAATAATTCACATTCATTTATCATGTAAGTTTAGTGTCTGTCTGCGAGTGTGTGTCTGCGTGCTTCTCTGCGTGTGAGTGTTTGTGATTCAATTGCTAACTACTTAAATGTCAGATTTATCTAACGCTTAACCCACGTGCTGCCTGGGGGACATTTCGTGACAGGCTTTGTGTCATCGGGTTGGAAATTGATAGCAACAAACTGTTATATTAATGGGTGGACCTGAGTTGCTATCTAACTTTTTTTTGATGTGCTTTGCTTTTAAAGAGCCGTGAGTTGGTCTTGCGTATCACTCATACGCAGTGTGGCCTTAGCTAATACTTTGTAATCTTTACGCCGAGTGAGGTGCTTACAAATTTTATCACTTGTACATATCCCTTTTAAGCAGTAAGTGAGTAAGTTTTAATTTTTTCATACATACGCTTTAGGGGAAGTGAGTTGGTTCAAAACTACATCACTAATACGCAGTGTATACGATGTTCATATGTACGTTTTAAGTGCAGTGAATTGGTTTTATTTTGATCTCTTTATATGCAGCTGTGGCCATAGAATATTCGATGTTTATATATAGTGCGATCTTAATTTATACACTTTATTTTCATGATGTTGTATGCCCCATTTGCAGTCTCTATTACGTTAAAATATATGTTTTTTTTAAACTGCACATCCCGAGATAATGATAAAAGTTATTTTTCTAACTCTAACTGGTCCACCCCAGTGTACTTGTGTGTGTATCTGTGTGTTGCTTACGTATCTGAAGTTAGCTGGCTTTCATTGTAATTGGTTTTGCGCCAAACTCTAACAGGTAAATTCACATTTAATCTCACATTTAAAATGCAAAAGTTTCAATTAATTTATCTTAGGCTTCGCTCCGCTTGACTTCACTTGGCTCCCGCTCGTCAGTCCTTCGTCTCGCTTAGATATACATGCCCAGATCCGCATGGAAGTCCTGCAGATACGAGAGCAGTTGTGAGGGCGTGGGTCGTTGTTTGGCCTCGCTGTGCCAGCAGCAGTTCATAACGGTGAAGCTAAGGGTTGGTTAAGGCCAATTCGAGAGTGGAAAACATAAATAAATATATTTTTTTTTAATTTCAGAGCAATATATGTCTTCCATTCTGTTGAGTACTCACAATTCATCTGGGCAGTTGACGGGCTGCTCTAGCCGAAAGCCGGCAGCCAAGTAATTGGTAAGCTCGAATATATCCACCTCCTCGTGGGGCATCTGTGCCAATGTAACCAGCTCCCAGTAGGTTACGCCCAGCGCCCACACATCGCCTTGGGTGGCGTACACCCGCTTCTGGAGCGATTCCAGCGATAGCCACTTCAGCGGCCGGTTCTCATTGTCGCCCAGACAGTCGTAGTCGTCCGGAAAGAGATCGCGGGACAGGGCGCTGTCGCAGATCTTCACATAGGACTCTTCGTCAAGGCTGCAAAGATAGTAAAACAAAAATAGAGGAAATTAAAGATCAAATTTGTATGCAAATTTTAAGGTCATACTCTGTTGACTTTTATTTTAATTGTTATTGCCATTATATAACTCTTTCGGACGAGCAAACGTTTTGAACTACAGGATAGTAGATAAATCTTTTGGTAACTACTAGCATTTATATGTTTTTCGTCGCATCCAAAACGAGAAACTATAAGTAAATGGGTCATTCTTTTACAAGCCGAACGGATTTAAAAAAAAAAATGTTAATTTTTTTGATTTGTCAGAAATTTTTTTTACAGACATTTTGTAATATTATGACTAACAAAATAATTTCTTTTTGCAAAACTTGTTTACTTTTTTGCCACATAGTATCTGTAAACAAAATTTTAGGCAAATCAAAAATGGTATAAAATCTTAAAAGGTGTTTGGTTTGTGACCCATATATTATATGTCTGCATCAAATACTCACTAGCAATTGCGTGTAGCAACGTCCTTGTGGACGATTCCCAGGGAGTGCAGGTAGGCCAGTCCCTTGGTGATGTGCAGTCCAAACTCAACCAACTGGCGGGTGCTCAATGCCGTGCTTGATTCCCGCGACTTTTGCAAGTATCTGTACGGAAAGAAGATAAATCATATTAAAAATTAAAATGTTTTTAAATTTTAAAGTTTTGACAACTTCAACTTCAAATGACTGCGAAAGGTCAGGATGGCAATGAGCAAAGGGTATCTTCTATAAGGGATTTTCCTTAACTAAGTTATTTATTTTTTCCTTGGTACTCACATCTTCAGATTGCCCTTGGACGGATAGGGATAGGCGATCTCCGGCGGACCCGGCAGCTCCGTATTGGCCAGCAGCGGCGCCAGGATGTGCTGATGGCTGACGCCGATCAGCAGCGAGGCGTCCTGCAGCAGGTAGGCCACCTGGGTGAGCGAGGCGCCGTCGATGACCGTCTTGACCAGCGCCTCGCAGGACTCGCCCAGCTTGCCGGCGTAGATCCTGCCGAAGGTGCCCTCCTTGACCAGCTCCTCGTAGCTGAGGGCGCCCGGCTGAACGCTGGGGATGCGTCGCAGGCGCTGGTTGTGGGTGCCCTTCTCGCCCCCATGGCTGCCCATCGTGATGGTGCTGCCGGTGGGGATGCCACCGAAAAGGCTCAGACTGCCACTGCCACCGCTGTTGCAATGCCCGTTGCCATTGCTTCGGATGCTCTTCGGCGTCGACAAGCTACAGGGCTAAAAATACAGAAAAAAAAGATTAAAATGTCATGTTTAGCCGAAAATGTTATATTATTAGGAAGGGGTTGCATCACAAAAATGACAAAAAATAGACCCGAAATTACAAACCAATTTTTAAACGCAGAGTTTTAGAGACTAAAGCCCCAATACATTAAATATATGCCATTTTGAAATCGGATGTTTGCGAGAAAAGTTATGGAATTAAAACTGAAGGTTTTTGGTACCTTCTTTAAAATGATTTTTTCGGAATTTAATTAAGAAGTTATGTCGTAAAAATATCAACCCAAACGTTCAAAACAAAATTTAAATGAAAAATTCTAGAAGATTAAGCAACAAGACTTTGAAGATATACAACTTCGAAATCGGATGCGCGAAATAAAAGTTATGGATTTAGAACTGCAGGTGTTTGGTCACTTTTCTGTAAAGACGATTTTTTCGGATATTTGTCATCATAAAAATGACAAAAAATCAACCCGAAATTACAAAACCATTTTTAAATGCAGAGTTTTAAAGACTGAAGCCCCAATACTAAATAGATATGCCATTTTGAAAGCGGATGTTTGCAAGAAAAGTTATGGAATTAAAACTGAAGGTTTTTGGTCATTTTTTATACCCTTGCAGAGGGTATTACCTTTTTAGTCAGAAGCTTGCAGCAAAGTTGTCTTTCTATTGCACGAAGTACATAAGTCGGAACGAGCCAGATCGGACAATTATAGCATAGGAACAATCGGAAAAAATAAATGAAAAAATATTATATGTCTATAATTTCATCAAAAACGGACGACTATAACATTAAAGCTCCCATGGCAATAGCTGCAAGGGTATATAAACTTTGGCTTTCCGAAGTTTGCTTCCTTTCTTGTTTAAATGTAGTTTTACTTAATTTTTTTTTTTTTTGGGACTCACATTTAATTTATTTTTGGGACTTGCATTTTACATTAATGAAATCAATTAAAATTGGGTGTTTGTAATAAAACAAACATACACTTTGGTTTTAGTTCCTGCAATCACTAATTAAATACTTGTTTGCGTTGGATAATAATCTCACCTATATTCATGCTTGGGCAACCTTGATTGCTTGTAATATTAAGTTCATTCTTGTGAGTTTAATTCTACATCAATTAAATCAATTACAATCTGGTGTTTGTATTATAACGAACATACTATTTGGTTTTAGCTTCTACAGGCAATATATTGGTTTGTGTTAGATAAGTATCTCACTTATATTCAAACTGGGTTTATTTTAGTTTCTAGCTCTAGTTTCGAGCTCTGATTAAAATGTTGTTTGTGCTTAATAAGAAACTGAGTTGGTTCAAACTGAACACTTAATTATCTTAGCTTTTGATGAAAGTAAGGATATCCGTATTCAGTTTCAAAGCGAATTTAAGTTTTAGACCTCAGAAATTTAGTTTCATTATTAAAGCACAAAACCAATTAATAGTTAATTAGTCAATTAATATGTAACCAGTTATTGGGAAATGTGCCGGTGTGCGAAAATCAAATGTATTATATAGGACGTACAATTAAAGCCAATATGGCAATCAAGATTAGCACCCTTCCATGCTTCGAAAAGGGGTTTCCGCTCAAGTAAGCTGCTCACTTGCAGGACACTTGAGTCGAGGAAACTGTATAAATTTCCATATTTCCGTACCCCATCTAATTTGAGGCCCCCAAAGAGGCCAACTGGCAACGAGTTTGGCAGGAGAAACAGCAATTTTAGCTGCCGGATTTGCATCTTTCAGCTTGCATCCGTTTACCGTTAGTCATGCACTCGGCTGCGCTCCTCCGTTCATTCATTTTAATGAATTGAGTTCCGTTTCCGCTCCAAGGCACTCCTTCCACGCCCACATCTTCTCCAGCCATAATTTTGCCCCTCGCTCTCGGTTGTCTTACAACATGAATAATTTATTGGCTGGCAAAAAAGCTTTAATTCGCCGAGCATTATGTTTGCACAGCCGCCGGGAGGGGAATTGGCCGGAGGAGCTGAAGAGCTCAGCTGTAGGAAATTGCGAACTCGTCTTGGGCAAACAAAGTCTGCGATGGCAGCAGATACGAACTTAACTCAACTCCCCCTTAAATTCCTGCCTATGCAGCACATTTATTCTCATAAAACATGAAGCAGTTTGCCAAAAAAAAAAATGGACACAAACTCGGTCTAATAAACACAAGAAAAATCTGCACAATTCCCCAGAAATCTGCATAACTGCGGCCGAGTTCAAGTGGCTTCACTGGCTTTCCCTGGACACTAAATCTCCATCAGCAGTAGCGGCATGAGCGGCATGAGCGGCATGAACGGCATGAGCAGCAGGTGGATGGCGTTTTTATTAAAAGCCACCGCTGGCAATATGCGGGAATTATATTATTTGGTGTGGCCTGACAACAGCTCCTGCGAAGGCAACACAAAAGGACACAATTGCCGGGAGGAAGCCAAACGACACAATTGCAGCACATTCGCACAGCCACAGCGACAAAAGGCAATAAAAACAATAGTTGGCTGCCTTTTGTTAGTGAATTTCATTTCATTATTGCCTTCATTGCCACTTTCCTGAAGGGGAAACCCTGCTGCTGCCGGTGCCTGCGATTCCTGCTGTTTGTCCTTTATTGTATTTGTCGTGCTGCTGTTGCTGTTGGCCCACAAAGAAAATTCAATTAAAACGCAACAATATCGCACTCCATCATCAAAGCTGTCCGCTGGCCCCTCAAGCCAGGCAAGAGCTCCTCTGGCTGGCTGCGATTGGATTGGTGGGGCGTATCCTGGCTGAGCCATAAATCCTACAGGATCCGCATGCAAAATGGGTCCCTTTCTCTCATCCAAAGTGAGACAAGGACACAACGGATGTCTGGCAGACCTTGAACCTGTCTGGTTACATTCGGAATCCTTTGTTTCCATCAGATTCCTTTAGAATGCCGGCTGAACATGTGCCTGGTTGCGTTAATGAGCCCCGCTCAAGTGTAATTAGAATTCATTTAATCGGTTTAACATTAAACAGCGGAATTGTTAATGGGCTTGGCTAGTTATTAATGGTTAATTGCTGCACAGAAAGAAAAAATGTATGAACCTATTAATTTATTAGTGTGTCCTAGTTGACTTTGGTAGCAATACTTAAAAAAAAAAATTGGAAGGGAATTGCTGCGGTACTTATCGGATTTGAGAGCCCTAATATTAGCCTTAATAAATAAAGATGTGAAGTTTTCTTAGGAATAATAAAGTTTTAATCTTTTCAAGAGTTTCATCAATTCAATTTTGTTTGTATTGTATTTATTTTAAAATTATCCAATTAAGAATGAAATAAAAATATAGAATACTTGAAATATCGACTGACCTCTCAACTATTTATATTACATCTCTCGATTTTCTATTATATAAAATATTACTAATTGCAATTGTGTACAATCTTGATTGAAATCTCTGAAAATCCTCTGAAAAAGGACTTCAAGTGGCAGATTAAACAGTTAAATGACTGAACTGTGCTTCAGGCAAAATAAATGTGTACTTCAATTGACTTCTGCCCTCTTAGCTTTATTGCTTTCAATCCTTGTTGATTGTCCTTAAGAAAATACTTGACATTTTTGCGTCTGTGTGAGTAGGCCAATAAAAACGGAAAATGTCTGTAAAATTAAAACGAGAATGGGCCAATGATTATTGCCAATAAACAAGGATGGGGAAACCGATTTTATGTGAGTGTACTCCCCTCCCCCCCCCTAGGTCGAATTGCAAATGGAAATGTTCATTTCAGCTTTTCGATTGAAGGGGGGTACCAGGTCAATATTAAATGCGGATGTCAAACGAAAAGACATTTTGGCTTGGCTTTTCATTTGAAATTCGAAATGGCCAAGAACGCTGAAAATAGCTGGCAATTGATGGAGACCCCACCGCCCCTTTCGATCACAGATCGCATTGCCATGATACGGTGGGTGGTGGCTCTGAATTTTGAAGTCGAATTTCCAGCTGGGCGTCAAGGATACGGAACATTCGTTTGAGGGATGGGCTGCAGCTGGTAGTGTATCCTTGTTGTGACATTTCTAATGACAACAGGGGGAAAGGGGGGTGTCCTGGGGGTTGGCCTGCAAATGACGTCAGCACAAACACAAACGGACACATACGAGTTGACAGGCGTCTGATTTGCTTATGTCACTTGCAGTTCTACGGCTGCCCGCAGGAACAACAACAGCCGCAACCACCGTCACCGCTCCACCGCCTCCCTGCCACGCCCCGTAGGCCACCAACGTCGCCCCGGCTTGTAATTAAAAACGCTTGATGACAATTTTGCCAGAACGACGCCCGTCAGCACGTCACTTGCCTGGAAACCAAGCTGCAGCCCAACTTTTTGGCAACGTCAGAGGGGAAAAGCAGCACAACATTTTCACACAGTTTTCCAGCACCGCACAGTGGGGCGGCGGGGGGTGCAAAAATTTTAATGAAGTCTCACCGCTGCAACTTTCGAGTTGGGCGACCTCTAACTAAATTCTGTGGGAAACTTTTCTCTTAGTAGAAAACCAAAGAAATATAAAAGTGGAGTGTGTTATAAATAAATTAATTTTAGCTAAGTCCAAAACAAAACAATTTATTAAGGTTCAAAAATTCAAACTTAGTCCAAAACAAAGCCATTTATTAACCTCCACAACTTAAACAATTTATAGTTCGCTGATAATTAAAGTGAAATAACAATTAGGAAATCGTTAAAGTTTTTAACAAAAAATGGGAAAAATATGTTTTGATATCGATAATATATTGTTTTTATTTTTGGTAAACAAAAAAGTATCCAAATATTTAAAACATATATAAATATTCTAATGCTCTTATATAATTTAATATATATTTAATTTTAATATTTATATTTCTTTTTTATATTTATATAATTTTATTTTAATAAATTTTAACAATTTTATTATAACCATTAACCCACTGTGCCAAAGAATGGTTGACGCAAAATGAAACTATGCAAATTGCTGATGCTTTTGCAAATATGCAGCACTTTCGTCGCCCTTTCCCGTCAGCACAGTATTTTACTTTATTCTGACAATGACAACATTTTGAACGTATCACGCATACGACCTGTCGCTTTGTTCTAATAAGCCATGGCAGTGAAGTGGAACCAGATGAAATATTGGCATCCAGGTGGCGTCGACAGCACAACCAGCTCGCCCTTGGCTCAATTATATTTCAATTTACCTGACAACAGGTCTTTCCTCCTTTAATCAAATTGGAAAGCCTCTCTGTCTGACTTTTCCCTCTGCTTTTTTTGGGCCAACTAACTGGAACTCTCATTATTTTGGCATTTCCATGGCCGATGCCGATGCCAGGACAGACTGTGTGTGCTTTCTAATTTGCCGGGGCCAACTAATTTGAATTTCGTTTGATTTATGCCTGATCGATTCGACTGGCCCCGCCCCCTTTTAGGGGTGTTCTCGGTGTCTTCCTTTGATGCATGGCATTTTGATGAGTCGACCTCGTTAGGCCCGTCGTTTAATAATCGTTTTTGAGGCTACCCGAAAAGTTTTTTCGGCTTATGCATAATTGAAGACTGAAGATGGCGGACGAAATGGGTGTTCTGTTTTACTGTCTTCTAATTAAAGGTGGCGCGTACTTAACCAAAGTCGCCGCTTACACGCACTTAATCACGCATAATTGCCTTTCAATTAGCCATTGCGTGTCCGTGCCACGCCCAAGACCGCCCCCCTCTTCCATCTCTCCACCATTTTCACCACCCCCCAGCCCACATGGATTCAGTATTTAATAAATCGGTTTCACAATTTACATATGTTCCGTACGGATTTCCATTGATTTTCTCGGCTTGTTGACTTTGCAAATTAAATGAATTTACAATCGCCTGGACAGCAGTTTTGTACAGTACGTTGCTCCCTGGGAAGGCACTTAAAATGGCCAATGGAAAACTGTCAATTAAAGCTGCGGACACCAACACACACACACACACACATACCGATTTTAATGGAGAAATCTTGTCCTCTAATTCGCTTTAAACGATTTCCATGTAACACCAGCGCAAAAAGTGAAGTGAAGTGCAGTGTGCAAGCAGCTCCTCGAAAACACAAGGGGGACATGAGGAGACTCTTGGTTCCTGGACCACAAAGGGAAAATCGGAACAAAAGAAACATCCGCCACTTCCGTTTGTCTCTCCTGCGGCTGACAGGAAGCAATCAATATAGTGTAATGCCAGACAAAAGCATCCGCCGCAGTTTGCCCGCCCAAAGGGGAATCCCCAGCGGATGGGCGAGAGTTGAGGTAAGGAAAAAATATCGACTGACGGTTGGGTAATTTGTCAACCTTTGGTGACGGCTTTGTTCGGCGGGTTAACCCTTGGAGTCGCCACCTGGTTGGTCACATACCACGACAGCCATTAACTGTCCTTTCACCATCACCCCAGTTTTGTCACAAATGTAAGTAATGCGTTTTAATCAAATGGAACAGCAGTGGTAAATCCATTAACATTGTACGTGTCGCCAACTTCAAATGGGGAGTCTCATAGATAGCTGACCCCCCTTTTTCCTGGATTTCCCCCCGTGGAGTTTGACTTGCTCCCATGCTGAGTGCGCCGTTTCCAGGTTGATTTACAAATTTCTTTAATGGGGCGACAACAACATTTTTAATTAGCACCTGTTCCTGCTGTTGCTCAGGTTAGCCTGCCATTTGTCGATCCGGTAATCTCCTTAAAACAGGAGGACATGCTCGCAGCTCCATGGTAATTAATTTCCAACTTTCTCATGCCCTCCGTCTCGTAATTTCGCCTGTGCTGCGAGTACGCCCAAACACTTCGACAACTTTCTCCCTAATGATGCCATTGAAATGCGTGGCACGATGTTCTTGGGTCCTCCTTAACCCATTACAGCCTTTCTAGGCTCCTTTCACTCTGATTCCACTGTTTGCTCTGTTTTTTCAGCTGATCCAATATACTAATGCATCTGTTTAGGTGCCGTTTTGTTTCCATGGTTGTTGGATCTTCTGCACATGGCGCATCCGCCCTGTTGTCCGTACTTTAGCCCGCCCCCATTTGGAACTTGGCTTTTGTTGTTGGTGCTGCAATAATATTTGCAAGTGTTTCTAAACAAGCGCAAAGCCATGTACAAACAGCTGTAGTCTGGTTCCTGTTCGCTGCTGTTTTTATTGTTATGTTTCACTACTTCCTCCTCTTAGCCCCCCCTAGCTAACTTAGCCCCCCATTTCAACCCCACTGTTATGTTTCTCCCAGTTACTGCTTTTTGCTAAACTTTCGCTGCACATTAAAGCAATTTGGCCGACGTTTATAGACTGATTTAATAGAATCAGGAGGGGAGGTGGATGTGGATGTGGAGCCATTCCACACACAAATGAGATATTTCCACACAAGTGCACAGAGCCAGACTGCGGATGTGTGTGTGTGTGTGGTGCGTAGAGTATCTGTGTGCAATTGGATATAATTGTTTGACTAAATGAGTGCGTTCGCCTCTTGTTTGTGCCCCCCAAAATGAGCTATACTTCGCTTAACGTTCACACACATGGCCAAAAGGAAAGGGGCTTTGGGTGCCAAGGGGTGGCGTCCTTTGGATGGGGCATCTGAACATAACGGAACAACAATAATTATGGCAAGCACTCTCAAACTCCAACCACATCCCCACTTCCCTCTCCACTTTGCAAGCAACAGAATCTCCACTCCAATTTCGGTGGATATGAGGCCATATATCTATGGAGGGAGCGGGATGGAGATGAGCTGAGAGGGAGATAGAGAATTTACTTAATTCCTTGCCGTCTGCCTCGATGCGTATGTCCTTCCACTAGATAGAGGCGAATCCAAATGGATATGACTTTTGGCATTGTGTGTGCCCTGATAGCCACGTTAGTGGAAGAGGAATCTGCAATTGGAGGCTGTTGCCATAATGAGCACGAAATTGAAGTCTAAACAAACTGAAATCGTTGGGCAAACAGGCAGCAGGATCAGGCCAAAGGAGATGCTTTAAGCTGAGCACATAAAAGTTCCCTCGAGTCTCCATGGAAATTGAATATTTAATTATGCGTCGATGAAAATTGCGTTAGAACTTGGTGACGAAAATGGCCAAAGACATCATGATGTTTGGGGGGATTGGAGTAGGACTAGAAAAATGCTTGAGTCTCTGGGTCTCTGGAATGTTTACAAGGACAACAATTGAAAGAGGCTGCTAAATAATTTATTCCAATTTGGCAGAGATTTCCACAACACCAAGAAGTTAACTTGGCTCGAAAGAAATGCTAATGTTCTCCCTAGAGGGAGCAAGTGCTTTTAAGGAGTAGACATCAAACCCCAAGTTCATGGAAAATAACCCAAGTGAGTTTCGAAAGGAACCCTAATGGTTTTGGTTCAATTTGTGGTTAGTTTGGATTAAGTTTGCTAATTTTCGCCCACGGGGTATGTGATGCTAGAAAGCCACTGGATTGGAAACAAAAGCAGAGATAAATAGGGCCAGACTGTCTGCGTCTGCCTCAATGGAGCACCTTTCGCTTATCTAAGCGGACATCCCACCTCATCCCTGGTACATTCTCACCCTCGAAGGACTCACATCATATGCCTCTCGAGGCACTGGGTTTGTGTGTCGCCTTCACCTTCGCCCACTTCCCATTCCCATTCCCACTCTGCACCTGCCACATGAACTACGTGAGCGCCACACGAAAGTTGCCCCATCCGAACTCAGACTCAGACCCAGACAACCAGACATCCTTGAGCGGCGTGAGCGGGTGGGAAAAGCCGCATATTTATGAATGGCTCTTGTTTCGAGTTTAACGCACTACGGGCGCTTTATCAGCTCGTAAATATAAATTAGAATTTAATTTTTATCGTCGAGGAAAGATGGCTGGGTCCTCCGCCCGGGGAGCAATCGAGTGGTGCTTGGGACAAATTAGAGGGTAGTCCAGGCAACTGGGAAAGCTGAGTCTGCTTCAGGGGTATCTCCATTTCCATTTACATTTGCGCCTGCCACGTGTCGTAATATATCAAAGGATTTGATTCAGCAGCAGTGGACCCCAGCCTCAATCCCCATTTTAATTCCAATCAAGCCCCTGGGACAGTCGATAGTGGGTTAGATAGTGGAATCACAGCACTCACCTGGGTCAGTTGCGAGGAGGCGTAGTAGGAAATCCTCGAGGGACAGATAGACTCTGGCTTCGAGTAAATCGTCTCTGCGGTCTGTTCGAGGTTCATGGGCAGCAGGGCGGTGGCATAAGGCGTGGGGGTGGGTGAGCTCCTGAAACCTGTGGATTGGTGGATTGGTTGAGGGATTGCCGGGGTTAGTGGTCACCAAAACGAGTGGATGGGTAATGAACTTACGGTCGAATATGCTGCATGACTTCTTGCTGTCCGCCGGGTATTTGTTGAGGCTGGCAATGGTCGCATAGGATCCCGTGGCACTCGGTGGTCTTCCCAGGGGATCCAGGCGAATGAACACGTTCTGATGGCTGCCATAAGCCGCGGTGGTGAAACTGGTGCTGGAAATGGCAAAGAGTGTAAATGGTTTTAGGACGAAGGATGGGCGGTGGTGGTGGTGGATAACCCACTGTAGCGAGTCCTGGCGGAGTTGTTTGCGAGCCCTCACATACATCATGCTGGCCACAAGTCCTACGGCCAAAACCAAACCCAGAGCACAGGCGGCGGCGCTCAGGAGGGCGGGTCCTTGGGAGGGGGCGTGGGCGGGGGCTGGCGATTGATTGGGCTCAGGTGAGATGCCTACGAGACAGGATACACCGATGAGTGATGGATAAGTGGGTCTTTTGGTGTTTTAAGCAAATTGAGGGTGTTGAGGGTGGAGCGTACCTTTCGCACAGATCTTGTTGCGCTTAAAATGGAGCCGGGTGTCGTTGAAGCGAGGAGGAGCCCGCACCACCATGTTGACATTGACGGGCATCTGCAGGCTCACATTGCCGGTGCAGGGCAGATAGACCAGGAAGGACTCGACCTCCTGCGGCACCAGACCCTTGTGCGGAATGCTCAGCGTGGGCGTGCCCAGTGCCTCCTGGTCGTTGTTGTACTCGATACTAATGGCATACGGCAGCTGCAAAGGGGTTCAAGGAGAATGGTTAATCATCGCAGGTTCCAGCTGGCAGCTCCATCCGACTCACTGGGTAGGCAATGAGACTCTGCCAGGAGAACTCCAGCTCGTGGACGTCCGCTGGCACGGGAACAGTAAAGTGCATCGCGTATGTGTTGATGGCTCCCTCGTGCACATAGAACAGGTCCGCCTCGAGTCCTGCGGGGAATGAAAGAAACGACAGGATATGAGGTGAGAGTGGATGCGGATGCGGATGCACTGCAGACGTAAAGCGAAAGTTTCCCCGCAATTTGCTGGGCTACACCCACTCCATTAGAGCCCTACACTCGCCCTGCTGAGCAAACTTTGTGCAATTGCTGTTTACACTCCCCTAGAGCGCTGCTCTCAACCATTAAGCGGAAATTGATTTTCTCAACGGTGAAAGAAGGGGGAAAAGCGGGCGACCCGAGGTGACAATGCTGGTGGGTAAACAAAACCCAAGACACAATAATAATCGAAATCGAATCCGTCACCAGCAGGCGACGATGCAGGGAGCTGGATGTCTGGAGCTGTCCCAAGGAGCAAAGTAAAATGAGGAGCGACAGGCGTCCTGGGGAAAGGGATTTGGTGTTGGAAAGGAGCGGAGATATTAAAAGGTGTCAACGGCGACTGCTTCATCATCGAAGGGAATCGTCTTCCATCCGTTGGCGGGTTCAAAAGTCCTGGAATGGCCTGATCTTTCCCACTCTCCGTTCAAGTTCCCCACCCGCTGGCATTGAAAGACGAGCTGCTTGAGTTAAAACGACGTGAAATTAAATTTCTTCATCCGCTTTCATTCTTGCTCTTCCTATATCTATTCCCTCACCCACTTTTTCAGTGGGGGGCATTATTTACTCCATGGGATCAGGCTAAGTTCGCTATTCACCAGTGGAAATCGGAGTGGGACTGCTGGATGTTTACCCGCTTCAAGTTCGAGCTGCTTCTGCTTGTTGTTCCATAGACTCCGCCGGATGTTGAATGTAGCAATTCCGCTTCCGGCGGACTGTGTGCGGGGATGATTGGCGCAGGAGGAGTGTGGCTGCATTTAGGGTAGAACAAAGCACTCGCTTGCTGCTTAAAACAATTTTAAATCCAATTACAGAACAAGGAAAAGCATTTTTCGTTAGCTTTCATCCAAGTCTAAGCTTCATCTACATCTTCAGACTGTTTCTGTTCCCCAACTGAGTTTTTCCATTTCGGGTTTGTTTTTGAGTTCCAAATTGCTCTGCCTCCCGTCGCGTTTTTAACTGAGGTTTCACTGTGGGCCAAGTGCAGCACTCCTTTTCGACTCTGTTGGTCCCTCAACTACCTGCTGCTTCATGAAATATCCTTCAGCTTGTGGGACAACACAAACTTAACCCCAAAGTGCTTCCCATCAAATATGCACAAACACGGAAAAAGGACAATGTTCCGCTGTCATCCTGTACCTTTTAGTCCTTTTCCATTTTCATTTGTGGAGAGAGGGCGGCATTTGAATAAGTGACTGCCTCAATTAATTCAGTCGTGATTTTAGGGATGTCGCAAATGTTCTACCACTCGATAGTCTTAACCCTTGTAATTTCTGTCGCCTCGTTTGGCTTCTCTGAGGAGCAAAAGCCTGAACTGCACTTTAAGTAGCATCAATTGGCATTGCTCACCATCTTTCCCAAGTTCATCCTGCTCCAGGATATCATCCAAAAGCCCCCCCTAAGCCCCCTTTTGCCTACTGGTGTCAAACTTTGCTCGTGTTTCATATCACGGTGCCGCCAACTTTGCCTGCGAAAGTTTCGTCGCGCTTATAAAGCCCTCCCTTCCGTTTCCCATCTTCCATGGCTTTTCCTTATTAAACCACCTCAACATGTTTTCCCTCCCTGGCCATAATTATAAAACCTGCAATTGCGATTGTCTGAATGACTCCGCCACACATACGTGAGGCTGCAACCGCAACTCATAATCATGGGAAAGGGATTCCAGATGAGGAGGAGAAAGTGGAAAGAAAGGAGACTACCACTTTCAGGATTGGCTTAAAAGGAAGAATCTCAGTGCCGTGTTGGTTTTCAGCTCTCGCATTGCCAACAAAGAGGAGACACTATTTGCCTAGGAGATTATGAGGATAATTAGTGTCATTAGTTGAGAGAGTTCACTTCGCTTCCTTCAAACCTCCACTTCAGGGGAGTGCAGATTCACCTCGTCGCTGATTAAGGGTGTTCCTGCTAATTGACCTATGAATCAGAGATGAGAAATGCCTGTTCAATTGGCGCAGTTTCTGATTTCCCCTTCTAAACACCTCCCTCCCCTTACAACCAAATTTCAGAGCAATAAAAATGGATTCCAGATGCCAAACCACCCCAGGAAAATATACATTTCGATTCCCGGAGGGTGAGTATATTAATGTGGGGATTTTTGGACTGTTTTCTATTCATTAAAAATAATTTTCTTTTGCATTAACTTTTCATTTGCAGGGAAATTTCTGGGCTCACCCGCCGAAGGTTGTGGTCCACCCTGGGGTGGAGCGGGTGGAAGCTGGTCCGAAGGGTGGAGCTGGAGACCAGGGATCGGGTGGCAAAGAAAAAGTGTGCACATCAAAGCGAAACTTGTTGAAATTGCATTTTTACGCACCCTTGAACAGGAAAGTCTTCAACGGAAAGGGAAAGAGGGCGGGGAAAGAAGGTGGCGACGAGGGAAAATGGTTCGTTGCTGGGACAACACATCCAAATTGAACTCAGAGGCGGAAAATCTTCAACAAAAGCGCAGAAAATATTTAATTTTAATGCTGTCGCCACTTTATCGAGATGATGGAGAGAGGGGAGTATTAAGGGGTTATGGAAAGGCAAAGTTCAAGGATGCCATTCTGACAATTGAGACGTAGTGAAAAGAAAACAATGAACTTTGTTTACTCTTCTCAGAACGACACCGAAGAAGCCGAATATTGCAATACAAGCACTTGGAGGAAAACTCCAGATTTCCATGTGGGGAAATGCATCGCAGGAAAAGCTGGCTCTGATCGAAGTGAAACTAGTCCGTGACGAGCCTTCCAAATGAAGAAATTCTCATGGAGACCGAAAAGAAGTGGAGGATGAAAGGAAAATGAGCTGGAAGTCCAAGGAAAATCATGCACAAGAATTTTTATTACTAGGGTGAGAGAAATTCGTCGAGGTTGAGGGTAAGTTTGTTTGATTTCAGCTGCTTGTTAATTTTCAAATCGAAACAACTTCGAGGGTGGCAACCATCACAAATAGAGGAGGAGAAATGTACCGGGGTGTTAACTGGTCGTTAAAAACATAACGAGCTTTAAGAAATGGAGGGAGGAAATCTGAGAACGTAAATTGAAACTCTAAAGGAATCTCCGTCAGTCGAGCAAAGAAAACGGCGACGAGCAACAAACAAGGTGGAAACTTCTTTTGAAATGTCGCTAATGAAATCCGATTTGCATGAGGGGTAAATAGGTAAAGGATGCGGGAAAAGTGACGATGATGGGTTGTTTATAAAGTGCAATTGACAGGAAGTAGCCCACTTGCCCCATTGATCCAGAATGCATTTGAATGCCTTGAAGGAGGGAAGGAGTAATGGTGGAAATGGGGAAAAACGGGTAAGAATAATTGGATGCAGAACAGCTCATTCATCCATCAATCCGGTATCCATCACATCAGAACGGGGATTATTTTCACGTTATCAACTAATTGAAGTGCCCTGATTTGGCAACTAGGAAACGAAGTGGAGTAGAGCCTGCATAATGAGATGGAAGCATTTATGCTCCAATTACAGCTAAGTGCCGGAAAATGCTGTGACCAGCTAAGCGACGAGTGATGGAGTAGCGACCGCGAACTAGGCCAGTTTTCTGTGGAGGCCCTCATCGGAGTTTCCACTCCCAACTCCCAACTCCCTCTTCCCACTTCCATTCCCGAGATCCATTAATCAACCTGAGGAGCAGGAAAATCGCGAGCCAAACGACAAGCACGAGGCCATTCCGCCTTGGCACGTCTATGAAATCCGTGTAACTCCCATCGGAAAAGTGGGAGTGGAATTGGGAGTGGGTTGGGTTGGGGAACTTGGCCTTGGCTCGATCTGGAGCCGGCGCCATCAATAACAAGAATTCGCGTGGAGCAACAAACGGAAAAACAAGAAAACAAACAAGGAAAACAACATGGAAAGCAGACCGAAGGAGGGGGCGGGGAAATGGCATGGAGGGGTGGAAATGGGGGAGGTGAAAGCTACTTGCAGCTGTCAGCAAGGTGAAGGCGGGTGGTTTAGGCCCGACGGAAATCGATTTGTGTGCGATTTGTTGTGGTTTCGCCTTACTAAGTATGCCCGTATTATTCCGCCTCCTCCCCTTCAACTCCACTACCAACCTTTCTCTAATGGTCCACTATAATTTCGGAACTATTAATGACTGTGACATGGTCTCCAACTTCGGGGATTGTTTGTGTTTTCGTGTTCAGGGATCAATGAATTTGTGCTGTCGCACTTTGACCCCCAACTATTAATCATATGTCCTGGCTGTGGGGAGTCCTGCTCTTGGAGTGGGTGTGTCAGTCAGTCAGTGGCTAGTGCCCCAATCGAGATTTCATTAGTGGATTAGAAAGCGGAACTGGAGCTGGACTTACCCATCAGTTTCATCACCTCGAGGTGGCTGATGAAAATGTTCAGATAGCCGCTGACCGAAGGGGTCCGCCAAGTGGAAATCGCCAGGCACACGAGCAGCAGAAGGAGGGGCGGGGGCAAGTGGCCCATGGTGGAGCAAGCTTTGGCCTAGTGGGTGCTGCGAGGAGCCAATGAATTGTCAGAGCATGTGTCGCCGCAAGTGGCGAACATTTTCCGGATCCTCCCCTTTGACAGCCAGTCTCAATGTGAGGCCATTGATGCGCAGATTTAGAGGGGGTGAAGCTTTGCTGGTACTGATTTTAATGCGGCTGCCAGTTGATGCTGCTTTGGGTGATGGTTGTCAGTTGCCAGTGCCACAAACACTAAGCTCAGAACAGATCCCAAGCTCTCGAGTAAGCGTTAAAATCAAATTCCAACTGCTGCTAACTGTTCCGGTGGAAAATGGGAACGAGAGAGGTCTGTCTACCAAATTTGGGAACTTTTCAGCCTCGGCTTCCGCTGGCTGCTACTCCTTTTTCCCTTTGTGCCGACTGTTTCAGACCAACTTTTCCAGTTTTGTTTTGCTGCGGTTGCTGATGCTGTTGCTGTTGCTGTAGATGGTGCCTTCCTCTGATGGTGCCACTCCCGTAGTTCCTCCTCCTCCGGCTGTATGCATCAGTGTGTCCAAATTTGGCCCAGACTGAGTTTGGTTGGCTTTTATTGGCTGAGCTGCTGTCAACTGGTCCTGCTTTCCTGCTTTTCCTCCTTCACCTCCCACTCTCACCGCTTTTCTCGTGTGTTGTTTTGTGGCTATCGCTTGTCACTTTGTACACTTTTCTGCTGCTGGTCACTCCACACTCCTTTCACCTTTCTCCTTTTGTATCCCCGTTAAAGTTCAGTTCCTGTTGAATAGAAAGTGATTTGGTTTAGTGCAAATCAGACTGCAGAATTAAAAAAAAAGTTGACAAGGGAAGATGCGCTTACGAGGATGGGAATTTTCCAATTGGGGGATTATAGGATTAAGGCGTGTGAGTCAGAATGTGTTGCTCAGTGGTGAAAACAATTTGTTAAAACAAAATAAAAAGTTTCTTTCATGCAAAAGTAATTAGAAAGTTGCAAAAAGATTAACAGCTTCAAGCCAAGTTATTCTGAAGTGACTTACTCACATCACATATAGCTAAGTTGGTGGATGAAAATGGCTGGTGCTTTAATAAATTTGAGGTTTTATTTATGTGTTTGTTTGGCATAAATTATGAACTGGAAAAAGGGAACAACTTTGGCTTTCGAACTGTTTGTGGTTCAAGTGGTTCAGGTGGTTTACCCCCCTGCTCATTGTTGTTTGGGCTACGTGTTTATTCAGCTGCCACTGCCTTGCCACTTCCCCCCTTTTCCACGGTGGTTGCGTGTGCAGGTAGCCCGACTGGAATGCCAACTGCAGTGGGTGGAGGAAGGTGGGTCAAAGTGCAAGGGGCGGTGGGTGATGCGGTGGATAGCGTGGGCATGGCAATGGAACCAGGACAGTCGAGTGTTCGGAAAACGAAATTGTTGCCAAGAAGCAGGCGAAACTGCTTCAATCTCTATGGTAAACTCATTCTCCACTTGGCCATTGCTTTTTGCCCGATACTCTATTCTTGCTTTTTCCATTTTCTTGCCGCAATAAAAATCGAAATCAGAAAAGTTTGTTGCCTTCGTTTTCGATTTCTCTTTTTTGCTTTGAAACATTTTTGGAATTTTAAAGTTTAACCAACAGAAGATAGTTTTCCAACGGATGCAAGCCATTCCCAAGCCAAGCCAAAGAATGCTGCGGTCTTTTTAATTAAACTTATCTGCGCCCAAAAGAGCGCCGCAGGATGAAGAGTGAGTCACTTGATTAAGGGCCAGATCATCAGGATCACCAGCCACCTTTTACATCAGCCCCACCATCACCACCTCTATCATCGTGAAAAGGAGCAAAAGGAGCAGAAGCATTCACATCTGCAGAAGGAGAACGACTGTTGCCACACGAATCCTTGGGCTTTCGAAGTCATTCAGCGAGTGCATTAATAATTCAAAAGACAAATAAACGTGGGGGAATGTGTGTCTTTGGCTGTGTGTGTTTTTCGAGGGGAAGGGGAGTCACTGTAACTGATTTAAATGGAGCAGCAGACAAACATTCAGCAGGCTGTATTTCCTGAAGCGGAGATAAATGGGGAAACGGGAAACGGAAACGGAGAGGAAAGCAAAGGTACCCAGCCTTTACAGCAATGTTCAACTTAGTCGATAACATATTAACTACATCAACTCAATCATAATCAGGCGAAACGGGAAAAGTAACAGGGGAGGGGGAACAAAGTTTTTCCGCCGGCATTTTCTGCTTAGTCACACGCATCATCTGTCAGTCTGCCACGCCTCCAAATCCATCCAGCTCCTACTCCTACTCCTCAGGCAAGTGACAAATTGAGCATTTGCCGTTGTTTCTGGATCCCAAGCCCAAGGAGCCATGAATGGATGAGTTGGGGTGGGAAAACTTTTCAATTACTCCGGGGAAAATCGCAGAGAGCAGTCGGTTCCATAATGAATAATAATCTTTGCCGCTGCCTGCATCATTTCTCCCCAGCTAATATTTATCGATGTGTATTATTTTCCGCCCCCCCCATGAGCACGGCCTAGATTGAAAAGGCTTTCGAGCTGGTGAATGGTTGTGGAATGGGAATTGGGGCCTCAGGCTCCTCCCGGCTCGTTTCAATTATAAAATGGCTTTCGCTTCTAATTGAATCCGTGGGCTAGAGTCGGGGGCTGAGTTAATATTTTATTTCCACCGATTGCTCCTTCTCCATCTTTTGCGAGCTCTGTTTGCTTAGCGTTTCCAGTTCCATGCTTCCCTTCCGACCCTAAATGCCCTGTCATGGCTTCAGCCTACCCACTTTCCGCCTACTGCCACTCCCACACCCACTTCCCATTCCCCACTCCCCATATCCCAATCCCATTTGTTGTTGCTTGGGCTAGGCCAACAGCCGCGAGGCTTTTCCGAGTAGCAACCAAACTGGCAGCTCCCCTTCTATCGCCCAACTGATGATAAACAACCGAATGCGGCAGGATATCCATCTCCTTGGCTATTAAAACTCCGATGAAATCTATTTCGACTAACAAAAACAAAAACACATTTCGCATTCGGGTAACACGAGTGGCCAATATTCGGTGAACTGAAACTCAAATTTAGTTTCGCCCTCGGCTTTGACTGGGCACAAACAAAATGGGAATAGTTCTTTTCCCCACATCAAAATATCGAGTTGCATTTATTACCATCCCCGTGGGCAGCCTCATTAGCTTAAAATGAGCAGCGAAACTAAAACAAAAGTTATAACATTTCAAGTACGAAACAAAAATGTTGAGATACTTTTGAAAATTATTCCTCTTTAACCAAAGAACTGTCAAAAAGTACTAGATTTGCTAAACAGCTGTTTTATTTTTTTCATTTTTAACTTAAACAAGTTTTTAAGAAGAAATGCAATTACATTAAATATTTAGTTTAATAAAAAATATTTTATTCCAAATTTTAAGTAATAACACAATATCACATTTCGAATGCATGCAATTTACAATCTAACAAAATATATTAATAGTCCAAATAACGCTATTCAAAATCTTGTTGCCATAAGAACGGCTTGAGTTCGTTTAAGATATTTAAAAACAGTTCTTGCTTAAAGTTTGAACCACATAATATTAAAAAAAAAAATATTGCCTTTAAATTCGGAAGTAAAAAGAAGGACATTTTTTTAAAGAATATATACAATTTTTGTTGACTTAGTTCCTATTTTTTTTTTAATTGTAGGGTCGTTTGTTTGTTCATGTTAATTTAGCGAGAAAATAAAACACTGCGCTGCCTGGTCCGAACCTCATTAAATAGTTGTAAATATTTGAAAATGGACTCCGAACGCAGAATGGATTACGCAACACAATGCGAAATTTTCGCGCTGACCGGACAAATTGTTGCCCATAAATTTTGATAACTGATTAAAAGTAACGAGCGACTGTTTTGCCATGTTTACCTGGCATTACCTGAGTTTTGCTGTATATTTAATGTCGAATTGTTGCCGAATGTTGTGCCAACAATTGGGGATTGCACTGCCCCCGAGCGTACCGCCCGGGGTTCTCGGGTCTACTGAAATGTCGAAAATGTTCGCCGGACTGGCTAATTTGTGCAGGCAATTAATTTACATTATGGCTGGGGGGTAACGAGGAAAAGGTCATCGACTCGATTTGTTACATTTTGTTTCATTTTGTCGCTGCGCTCCACTGAGCTAACGATTGCCAGCCGAACATGTGTAGTAAATATATTTAGCCAAAATAGCAGGACCCCTAATGAAAGACATTCATGTTCGTGGCGAAATTGGGTCGTTCTGGCATTAGTGCCTGGTCGGGCCCAGCAATTAAATTCCCAATTTGTGCGATTTTGGATGATGACAGTTTCCACTTAATGTGTGCCTTTCCTAATTGCCAACGGTTCTGAAAATTCTTCTGTAATTATTGTGCACATAAACATGGAAAATTATTGCTTTTTGCCATTAGGGTGGGATTAAATTTCGCATACTGCAAACAGTTTTTATTTTTTCAATGGTATTAAATTTACGTCGAAATTTTATCCCTTTTTGTAAAGTTAATTATTGGTCTTAATTAAGTGAAGTGTTACAATTTAATGAAAGCGAAATTTGACTGGCACTGCAATTAGTTTTGCAGTACTGTTTTAAACAGCAACCCGCGCAGAGAAATATGTAAAATGTTAATCTATACGAACAAAAGAGAAATCAGATACCAGTGTGTCCATATTTCTGTTATGCAATTATAAACATTTTACATTCGTAATTTTGGTCCCCCAAATATAAATAAACTGATGTTTTTCAATCAATTTTGCATTTTTTAAACTGTTTATATTTATCCCTTTTATTTATGTCGAAATTCTATCCATTTTAAAAACTAAATTATTAATCAAGTGTATAGTTTGATTGGTACTATTATATTTGCAGTATTTTATTCAGCAGCAATCCGTTCACACAAATATGTACAAACATTTTAATTTACAATAGTTAAACAGAAACCAGAATCGATTGTGTAAATTTGAGCTATGTAATTACTTTTTAGCCATGCAGTTAAATTCAACTTAAAAATGATTTATAAATTTATAAAAAATGGTGATGCACAAAGCTTTTCCAAAAGACTAACGACCTGAAGATCTTACCACACAGGGATTTCCTATGGGAACCTGACGGCTTTTAAGGATGCTCGTCTGCATGCGAGCAAGTGCCTAGTAGTAAATAACCCCATAATGACCATCTCACATATCCAGTTGCCTGTTCCACAGAGCCTAGGACTAGGACTGCGGACTGCGGACAGCGGACTGCGCCACTGGGCAGCCAGCCAGCCAGCCAGCCAGCCATTTAACATGAAATACAACCTCAATTACGTTTTACGAGTTTAACTCAACACCGTGCGGTTGTCTGATGGGAATTTTCAATATTATGTGGCGTAAATTTATGGTGCCAAGTGACAGAAGCCGGGCTAAGCGACGACACCCGGCACGGCAGTTTTATCTCCGTAAAAGTATCTCAACGACAACGACAACGGTCCCCTCGATTTAAAGCCCCTCGGAATGACGAAGGCAACGAAAACGACAACGACAATCCCCCTCCAGACGATGGGCAATAATCATTGATTTATGGCTGTCATTTCGGTTATTAAAATGATATTTTTTTCCCGGACGCTGTCGAAAATCTGACTGCCAACGTCGTCTGAGCCGGCTATCTGGGTCAATGCAGGACGAAGAGTGGCCCGGCCAGCCAACCCATGCTCCTTGGCTGGCCTCTTTTTTTTTTTAGAGTTTTATGCCCCTAATTGAAACATCAAGCCGAGTGTCCCGCAATCGAGCGCTAAAAGCGTGCCTAATCTATGCATATTTGCCCAAAGACCCCTAATCATGGGCTAAGGCATAAAAACCGGGCTAAAAAGGAAACTGTGGCCCACACTTAGGGCCAACTTTTAGTTTCACTTTGTGCCTCCTTTGTTGCCGTTGCCGGAGCACTTAGGCATTCAATCAACGCAGACTGTCGTGTCGAGGCGTTGGCGTGCACTGAGTGGAGCCGAGGAAGTGGAGTGGGGCACTGGGCCGAAGGTTCTCTGGGTGGTAAGGTTGTAAGGTTGTAAGGTGGTGGGGTGATGGGGTGGTGCTAAGTGTCGGGCCAGCCCCATTTAGAGTTGGCCAAGCGCAACGAGAGATTTGCATTTTCAGCTTTATTCTTCTCTATTAAGATGGGGTGCTTCTAGAAAGTCAGGGTATATTTGGTTCTTGGACATTACATTTAATCATTTTAAACACTAAATTTCAATTTGAGTATTGGAACATAGGCTTTCTCATTCACTACCTCTTAAATTTGTTTAAATGTTTGATGAGTCTTCAATTCCATTTTCTATAGGGTATGTTCTGTATGTTTCGGAAGTTTGACAGTGAATGTAGAAGGAAATGTCCTGATTACCACAAGGAATCTTCTTTCCAAAAAGAAAATGAGCAAAAAAAATTTTATAGTCACTGTATTCACTTATAGTTTAACTATAGTTTAATCTACATAGTAACACAAATTTATAAAAAAAATTGTATAAAACGAAACATTTTAAAGGAACTTATCCCCCAACAGATTCTTTAACTTCAGATAACAAGTTTAACATCCATTAAATAAAGAAAAGAAATAATAAATAGGTATTATGAAGTCGCTGCTTTTATATTCTTCCTTTTTTTTTTCGTTGCCCATTTGGTGTCCTAGTGTTGGCATTACTTTTTTATTGCCTACTTCTTGGCGCCCCGAGAAAAAGGCCTTTATTCTCACACATTGCAATTAGTGTCAGTCCACCCCCGCAAGTTTATTCAGTCACGCAATGTGACACCATAAAAAAAGAACTGAAAAAAAGAACATATACGTATACGTGGGTGACCCAGCACAATTATTTATTTAGTTCCGGTCGAGAGTTTGAAATGGGTGCGATTCTTTGTGACGGGTTCAAGCGGGTGTTGAAATCGTTCAGAGCGAATAAAACACATTAAATGCTTACTTATACTCGTATCACCGGGCAATCAGCTTTACGCCAGTCGACACAGGACTTACAAGCGATGTGCTGTGGGGGATCCGGAGTTTAATCCTTTTTTTTTTGGTTTTTGGGCACAGCAATGTGAAATTTTTGCACTTCTGATTAGTAGGAATTGCATGTATGAGCACTGAGCACCGAGCACCGTGCACTTAATGCCCCATTTAAGCCATGTCAACAGGGTGCGACCGCATGCACAATATTGTCGACGGCTGGGCTTTTCTTTATTAATGATTCGGTTTTGCGGCTTGTGGGTCTCGCAGGAACTACGGCTTTTGCCTTTTTTGCTTGTAGTTGTAGTTGCTGTGGTTGTTGTTGTTGTTGTTGCTTGGACGGAGAATTTCGCGTTTCCCTTGAAGAACACACACTCACGCACTAAGTTGTTCACGATTTCCGGCGGTGGAAGTCCTCGGCGACCGTTTGTTTCGAATAGTGGCGAGCGACTGATTCATCGCAAAGTCCTTCGGAGTTCTCTTCGTCGAGCTTGTCACGAAAAAGGACTCGGCTTTTTCTGTGGGCACATGCGCAATTATCGAACAATTTGTGGGTGGTGCTGCCGAAATGCCGGCAGTAAATTGTGGGGCTCCGCTGGAGGTGGGATTCGGATTTTAGGGCCGGAGAAAGGACAATTGTTTGTTTTGTGTTGCTGTTGTTGTTGTTGCTGCTGCTGTTACCACTGCCTGCCACATGCAACTGTTGCGCATTTTTTTTTGCAAATGGCTAGCGATAAATGTTGTTGTTACTGTGAACTGCGCTTGTTTATGATTGCACTTGATGTCGTGTTGAGTTTTGGCTCCTCCGTTGGCGGAAGTGGAGCGGAACTAGCTCGGCACTGAGGGCGATTTTGGTTAATTTTTATGAATTTATGTAAAAGTTAAAGTTTAACTTTAAAATAGAATAAATGTGTTTTGGTAATCGTGTTTTGGTAAGCTAGATTTTCTAAAATTGACTCTTAAATTAAAAATGTAAAGCTTACTTATTTGCAATTAAAGCTTTAATTATATTTTTTGTGCACATCTTGGGTTACATAAAAATTTATATAATTTAAGCAAACACTTTTTAAGCGAAAGATAAATAAAACAAATTAGATAAAAGAAAAAATTACTCAAAAAAAAAGGTTTAAAAAATATCACAAAATAATAATAAATGCAAGTTTTGGAACTCCACCTTTGCAAACCCCGTGTTTTTTTTATAGCCTAGCGGTTTTTTCGGTAGAGGTTTTAATACTAAAATATAATATTTAACATTATTTTAAAATACTTAAACAGTGGATAGCTTTTTAAATCCGTCTCTCTATAGTTTGCATTAGTTTTGTGCGTGTTTATTACAGTTTTTAAAGCATATTGCTAAGAACTAGTTCCGAATAGGATATAAGCCAGCACTATTCCTGTGAAATTGGAGCATAGTACTAAATACCCCTAGGAGGATTTCTGGTTTCTTTTGCGGAATGTTGAACAGAATGTGTAGATAAACTAGGTTGCCTCCACAAATGGGTTTTTTGGGGGCAAAACAATGCATCGCTGTAGAGACTAGGAAGATCTGGTACTAAAAATCTAATTGCTTGAGAGTATGTGTGGTTGATATACCCGCTGTGCTTGTGACAGGATCTGATGTCCGGGCCCCTTTACAAGTAGCCCCATTTTATCACAGCAAATTCAATTTGTCACTCAACAGCCGGCGAAACGGAGCAATTTCCTGTTGCCAGCTAAAGTAGCCAAAAAAAAAAAAAAAAAAAAACAGCAGAAGGAGGCAAAGGAGCCGGGACAAACAATCTCCAAACTAATTAAATAAAACGAACTCCGAACTAAGCGAATTGGGCAACTTGTCGCAGTAATTACATCAAAATATCTATAAAGAGGGACGAGCAAACTGTGCACAAAAAGTCCGAGTCCGAAAAAAAAAAAACTGAAATAGAAATATATATGAGCTCTGTCAGCTTGATTCATTGGGCAAGTAAAAATTGGATGGCAAGGGAGGTAATAGGTCCTGGGACAGGACCTGTCCGGCTGACAGATGGCCTGGCCGAAACTTCTCGCTGAGATGGGCAAATATTTTCACGACACAAAGCTTAATTTGCTGGCAGAACGAATGTCAATTAAAATTTTTTAATGAAATAACTTTCGTTGATTTGTCCCCCCGGTTCTGGACACGACAGCTCCGCTCCGTCGCCAGGAATTCAATTAAAAAAGGTTGATTAGTTCGCCATTAGATCGGAGAATGCCTCATTACCGAAGGCAAGCGAAGGCAAACAAAAAAGTGCCAACTTTTAGGCCCTCCAACTTGTCCTCTTGTGCGATACGCTCGGACTTTTAATTAAGGAAAGGGAAATGAAACGAGAAGAAAGAAAACCAATTACAAATCATAACAAGGCCTTTGGAAATAATTAAAATTTTCATGGCTAACCAGGCGCCAGTCAGCATTCAGCAGTCAACCTCCGATCTCGATTCTGCAATCTCAACAGCCGATTGCGAGCTGTTCGCACGTGGAGCACGTGCCGCGTTGGGCGCCATTAAGCTGCCAGCAAGTAAATTGCCTGCGATAAAGTCTCGATGGGAGAAGGTGAGCCACACCAATGCCGACTGATAAGAGACCACTAATCCCCCCAGCCGTGCACTTATCAGCGAGGCAAACACATCTCCCCACTTCACCCTTCGGATTTAGCCACAAGCTTACTCCTTGAGTAATGAGCGTAGGAAGAGCTGAAGATAAAGTGCAAAAGGAAAGGTTAAGCCAGTTCACCCCTCGATGCAACAAATGGCAGTACTTGGGCGGATTTAGAACACAATAAGCAGCCGCAACAGAACAGTAAATGGAAGTAGAAACAAGAGTGGAAGTGGCAGTGGAAGTGGAAGTGGCAGTGGCAAGCACTAAATAGTTGCAGGAGTTGCAGGAAACAGGATAAACTGGGGAAAAAGCTGCAGCTGAGTGCCAAAGTTCACACCAACCCCATCAGGGAATCAAAATAAAAGAAGAAAATAAAGGGTGGGATAAGGATAATAATGCGAGAGTAAAAACAAATATGCGTTGATCTGTGGCAGGGACCAAGCAGCTAACAGGGTATATATGTGTGTGTTGCAAAACAGAAAATAGAATCAAATCGCAATAAAACGAAACATAGCGAGTGAAAACTAAACGGAATGGAATCCCCTTAATGCGGCATGTAAACAAAATGGGCACGTGACCAGAAAGGGAGAAGCCAGCAGGAGCTGGGATAAAAGAAGCAGCAAGGGTGGATGTGGATTCGTAGTCCTGCATTTGGACAGCGGGATGTGGCAAAAGTTGCCAACTGGCCAACAAATTGCCGCATGAAAGTAATCCCGACAGCCTGCAGATTGTTGCGCCATCATAAAACCCAGTCGGATACGCAGACTGCGAAGGCGCCACGCCAGGATCAGAATACAAGGAAGCACTTTGGCAGTTGGCAGACAGTGGCAAGACATTGTACCGTCCAGCAAGTGGAAAAGAAAACAGAAAAAAAACAGTAAAAAAGGATTGTGCATTATTCGCCCCAGCAAATGCCCGAAATGACCACTACTTCCCATTCTCCACTACTAGTCGAGTGCAACTGCAGTCCTTGAATGGCTGTCAAATCAAACATCTTTTGAGCAATCCTCCAGCATTTCACACAGCATTTTCGCCCATTTCATTTGCTCAACGCCTGTCGAACCATTTGCAGAGCGCTCCTCTTTCATGACCTCAACACTTGCTGTCAGTCAGTTTTCTCTTGTGATGTGGCATTTTCAGTTTAAATACATTTCGTTCAGACGTCTTCGAGCTGAAGGCGTTTTCCGTGCTGCCGCCTCAATTGCCTCACGTATTTCCCGACTGTTAATTAGCTCGATAAATGTGAAGATAATGAAGAGGGCGGAACTCTGGCCTCGCCAACTGGCAATTCAAATGTTGTTGTTTCAAGCAAGACTATTTTTGGCACTCCGCCGGCGACCAATCAGAACTTTACGGCCAAAAGTTATGAAGTCCGAAAGATAATAATGCGCCAACACTTTATGCCTGATGCCTGGCACTAACTCAAATCCGCCACAAGCGTAAACCCGACTTCTTGTACTGGTACTGGTGCTGGCGAACAATAAAGTTAAGTGCACTGCAAGAAATTGCGAGTGCCAACTTTTGCCCGAGCCCAGTGCAATCAGTCACGACAATCACATTCTGCGATATTATTATTGCCGGGGCCAAACTAGAATCAAAGTCGCAGCCAACTTTCAGTCGAGGAAATTGTTTGCCGCTTTCCATGCAAAGCAGCGCCTCGGGGGCGTCGGAAGTGACGGGAAAGTTGCATGACCAGCAGACGACGGGTCTGGAGTTCGCAGCTCAGTGCTTGGATTCTGGCAAAGACCACCACGGACGTCAACTGTCAGGAGCCAGCAGCTAGGAGCTGGGTGGCGGCCAAAGAGGATAAGCAGACTAGCAACACGAAGGATACTAAGAATACTTGCTGGGGCGAAATAAGAGCCCAAGGAGAACTTCTTGGCAAACGCTTTTATTGCTCTTAGCCGGCTCGATGTGTCTCCACTTTGGAATGCGAGGGGGGCGGGCTTGTTGGTTTGGGGAAAATGTAGGAAATGTGGGAAATGCGGAAAAGGAGAATAAGGGGAGCTCCCCGCCGAGGAGTTGTACTAAAGTAAATGAAGCGTGACGCTTTGTTTTCCTTTGATTTAGTTTTATGAGTCTGCATCGGATGTAATTGAATTATGCAAGTTGGCGCCGACGGCCAACGACGGCAGACGACTTTATTAGCATTCGATCGTAAAGTGGGGAAAACGTGGATGATGACACGGATGAAGGATAACACCAGGAGGCAGAATACAGGATACGGGCGTACTCAGACATGGCTTTGCTTTTTAGCAGTGATATTTTGGAATTTCAGATGATTCCGCACAACTCGCAATGAAATGAGTTGGAAAATATGTGGACTAGGCGGCTAAAAGGGAATAAAAAGAAAACAGAACCCTCGATATTCCGCCTGCCACATCCACAGACAGTGATAAGCAGCTCAATGAATGCGCAATGCGATGGCAACGGGATGGAATCCATAATGAAATGCCAATTTGCAGGCGGACAAAGCTTTCCCCAGCCTAATTGACACCCATGGTCGTTGGAGATGGCAAAAGGATATCGAAACTGAAACTGGAATCGAGTGAGGGCCAGAGTAACAAGGGTTTGCTTTCAGGTCAATCCCCTTGATGGCCATGCAAAGGCAAAGAAATCGATTTGTCATCTGCCTGAGAGCATTTGCAGGGGTTTCTGTTTCAATATTGTGGCCCAATAATTAATATGTGAGTCGCCATGGTGCCAGCATACCACCGCCCTGGCCTGCTGCAATGCGGGGTAATCTGTCACTTCAGTGCCGGTTTCGTTTTATCAAATATGTAGTGCTGGGGAAACACTCCAACGTTCCAATGCCGGAGTCCTCCTCA